CATTTGTGGGATATCTGTACTGTTCTGACATTTGGGGGGATATCTGTACCGTCCTGAACATTTGGGGGATATCTGTACCGTCCTGACATTTAGGGGGATATCTTGTACCAGTCCTGACATTTGGGGATATCTGTACTGTTCTGACATTCTTGGACCTCAAGAAATTAGATTGGCCCGTCAGAACTGATTGATCAACTTTCAGAATATATCCAATAGTTTGTGAAACTCTATAACTTTTCTACAGACTAAATAATTAAATAACTAATTAGGGTTATTTTCCCCAAAGGGGACATGTAGCAGAATACATCTCAGCCCTAAATTTATGAAGAACAATTATTTATTTTTCAAACTTTGTATAACATGCAACAAAGAAAAATGTGTTTTTTTTTTCAAATTGTTTAGGTTCTTTTTTTTGTTAATTTTAGCAAAGAATAAAAACCCCAGCCCGCCCAGGTGATTTAAATACCACCAAAGAAAGCTCTAGTTGTGTGAAGAAAATTATAAAATTTTAGTTTGGGTACATTGTTGTATGACCGCGCAATTGTCATTCCAAATGTGTGAGAGCGCTGAAATACCTGAAAAATGGACTGGGGGGGAAGGGGGTAAAATTGCCTGCAGGTATGAATTGGTTTAAACAGAATAAATAACAATGACAATGTTTTTATCACATGTTTGTGTCTTCTGCCTTTATGACACCCCCCTGGACACCACACCCCTCTCCCCCCGCAGGACAGGAAGTGAGGGGAAATCTCCCCAGTGGGGAGTGAAAAATGGCCTGGGCAGGAAGGGGGAGGAAAAAAGTGCCCGGTGTATGGAAACGGTTAATGAATACCTGAGATCATGATTAGTTGTATAAATTAACTGATTTGTAGTTCAAAATGTTTGTGATTGGCAAATCTTATCAACAGTTTTTCTTAAGGAGATAAACTTTTTCTATATGCATTCTATAGTTGTGAAATGTACTATTACTCCAGATCTTCTGAGCTGTTGGTCCTCATGAATAGAAGTCTTGATTTTGCAATGGGGTTGATTTGCACAAAGCAATAATATCCTGTTCACTCAGTTGAAGTTAATTTCTACTTTGCAAGTGATTTATTTCTTGGCTTATTGAATTAGATGGAGTTCCTGCTGAACCTCCATCATCCAACCACAAGATTTTTTAAAAATGTCCCTTGCTTGTGATTGGATATTCTATATAAGATGATGAATGCTCACCACATTCACTAGGAAGATTCCATTGCAAAGTAAAAATACATTTTTCTTGCTAAGTGAAAAGGCTCTACCCCTTTAGTAAACCACCTCCAATGTGTCTGTGTTATATACAGCATTCAGAGGGGATCACTTTCCCAGTGCTGATTGGAACATTACAGGGAATCTAACTGGTAGATATGTGATCTCTGCACACAATTTAAATCTGGAGAGTTACTGTAACTCATTTAACATGTACTTATTTATTATTTCTCTAAGAACATTGCTTATGCAAGCAATTGTTTCATCTTTTCCAGCCCAGCAAGATATACAATAATTATAAGATAAACACTATATTGCCAAAAGTATTGGCCCCACCCTCCAACAATCATGTGATTCAGGGTGTTCCAATCCCCGTCCATGGACACAGGTGTATACAATCAAGCCCCTAGGCATGCAGACTGCTTCTACAAACATTGGTGAAAGAATGGGTCGCTCTCAGGAGCTCAGTGACTCCAAGCGTGCGGTGTGTCCCGTGATAGGTGGGTCACACTGGGCAATAAGGGTCCATCCGTGACATTTCCTGGCTACTAAATATTCCACGCTCAACTGTTAGTGGGATTATAACAAAGTGGAAGCAAACTGGGAACAACAGCAATTCAGCCACCAAGTGGTAGGCCACGTCACATGGGACAGGGCGGGGGGGGGGTCAGCGCATGCTGAAAGCGCACAGTGCGCAGAAGTCACCAACTGTCTGCAGAGTCAATAGCTAAAGACCTCCAAACCTTGCTGTGGCCTTCAGATGAGCCCAACAACAGTGCGTAGTAGAGAGCTTCATGGAATGGGTTTCCATGGCCTAGCAGCTGCATCCAAGCCTTACATCTCACCAAGTGCAAAGCAAAACATCAAATGCAGTGATGTAAAGCACGCCGCCACTGGACTCTAGAGACGTGAACAATCGTGCTTCGCTGTCTGGCAATCTGATGGATGTGTCTGGGTTTGTTGGTTTGCCAGGAGAAAGGGGTACTTTCCTGACTGCATGGTTTTTGCAGGTGTGTAAAGTTTGGTGGAGGGGGGATTATGGTGTGGGGTTGTTTTTCAGAGGTTGGGCTTGCCCCCTAGTTCCAGTGAAGGGAACTTGCTTTGTGCACTGGAGTGCAGTTTACCTTAAGAGGTGTCAGCTTACCAAGACATTTTGGTCAATCTCATGCTCCCAACTATGTGGGAAGAGTTTGGGGATGGTCCCTTCCTGTTCCAACATTACTGCACGCCAGTACACAATGCAAGGTCCATAAAGACATGGAGGAGCCAGTTTGGGGTGGAGGAACTTGACTGTCCTGAACAGAGTCCTGACCTCAACCCCATAGAACACCTTTGGGATGAATTAGAGCTGAGACTGCGAGCCAGGCCTCCTCCCCCGACATCAGTGCCTGACCTGACAAATGTGCTTCTGGAAGAATGGTCCAACCTTCCCATAGACAACCCTCCTAAACCTTGTGGACGGCTTTCCAGAAGAGTTGAAGCTGTTATAGCTGCAAAGGGCGGGGCCAACTCAATATTGAACCCTATGGACTAAGACTGGGAGGTCATTAAAGTTAATGTGCGTGGAAAGGCCGACCGACCAATACTTTGGCAATATAGTGAAGCTTATAATGTGTCTTCACAAGGTCTATAGAAATAATAATACAATTTCATTATGTGCTTCACCAATGTTCATTCTTTTTTTTGGTCCAGGAGTAAATGGCATAGTAGGGATAAAGAAAAGTAGTAGCAAGGGAATATTTTAAGTGAGCCTGTCAGGAGGTCAACACAATTAGACAATCACTATCCTTAACTAATAATATAAAAACAAGTGCAGCGCTCAACCATAAAATAAAGTGCAAACATATGCGATAGATAAATCGTCCTAAATACAGACAGCAACCCAATCTCTAAATGGGAGGATGCTCCAAGTGATATGATATATCGCGAGTCACAGTGATAGTCCACCCTAATGTTGATGGGTAGATATCGATCTCACAATGTGCATCAGAGTGATCCGGTGGTGTGTGAAAAAATGGAAAGATTCCCCACTCACCGGAAGCGCAAATCTTAATGCGCATGGGTCAGATATGCCAGAAGTGGAGGTTCCCTCTAAGGTGTAGCCTGGGACTGGATCCTTACTCCTACAGATGTGGGTGTCAGGGATATCACTCAACCTTGCCCTCTACTGGATGTGCTGTGGTGGGATCTGGTCAGACAGGCTCCCTCTCCTCTGGTCCTGGTAGAATACCTGGGGTCCTGGATGGATTTAATTGCTCGATGCAGAGCAACAAAGATGGATGCCCATAGTGTAGTATGTAACCATATTTATTGAGCAAATTAAATGAAAGCAGAGGTATTTCACATACACTACTACAATAAAATGTAAATAAAGAAGTAACCAAGCTGCTAGATACACTGACCAGCTGGAGTGGAAAGATAGCCACCGGACCCCAGTGACCCGGCGGTGTGATGTCTCAGCGTGGAAAGTGTTTTGATAAGAGATGCTCTTTGAAGACCTTTTTAATGTTGTAGTAGTAGAGGAGGTAAAGGTGGTGATTTTTTTACCTCCTCTACTACTAGTAAATTATAAGATATTGCAACATTCATTACCTGCAACAGCAAACATGTAGTTTATTTCTTGGAATGTCCGTGCCATAAGCAATACATCGGTCGGGACTACGAGGAGATTAAGGGATAGGCTTCGAGAGCATGTTTACAACATTAAAAAGGGCTTCAAAGAGCATCCCTTACCCAAACATTTTAGGTATTTGTCACCAAAGAGATCCTTCATTCCTGAGATTTACAGGCATAGACATGGTACAACAACACTGGCGGGGTTCTAATAAATCCAGACTGGTATCCCAAATGGAGACGAAATGGATTTATGAGCTCAAGACTTTGATCCCAGCAGGCCACAATGTGGACATCGACATCAACTGTTTTATAGATAAGAGTTGATGTCAGATGATCCCATGTAATCTGATTATTGTTACTTTCTTTTTATCATCACCATTTTTCTTATAAGGATATTTAAGTTTTAATTGTCTCACCTATATTAATCCTATATGGTAATTACCTTTTTACGATATATATATCTAGGAGACTGTTTTGACTGTAGATACTGTTTGGTAATCTCAGTACCAACGCTTTAAGTAATTACACAAATTCTATATGTGTTGTGAATTTTCATAGTTTTCACATAACATTGATTCATTTAATTATTATTTATCATATTTTACATATCTACTATTATCCTTTTTTAATTATACTTAATCATATGTTTATGTGCTTTTTAATTTACATTTAACCAATTCAATACCGGGCACTTTTACCCCCTTCCTGCCCAGGCCATTTTTCAGGTTTCAGCGCTCTCACACTTTGAATGACAATTGCGCGGTCATACAAACATTGTACCCAAACTAAAATTTTATCATTTTCTTCACACAACTAGAGCTTTCTTTTGGTGGTATTTAATCAACGCTGGGGTTTTTATTTTTTGCTAAATTAACAAAAAAAGACCGAAAATTTTGAAAAAAAAAAAACACGTTTTTCTTTGTTTTCTGTTATAAAAGTTTGCAAATAAATAATTGTTCTTCATACATTTAGGCCGAGATGTATTCTGCTACATGTCTTTGGTGAAAATAACCCAAATTAGGATGTATTATTTAGTTTGTAGGAAAGTTATAGAGTTCACAAACTATGGTATAGATCTGAATATTGATCAATCCTGAAGTACTGATGGCCAATCTAAATTCTTGAGGTCCAAGAATGTCAGAACAGTACAGATATCCCCCAAATGTCAGGACGGTACAGATATCCCCCAAATGTCAGGACGGTACAGATATCCCACAAATGTCAGAACAGTACAGATATTCCCCCAAATGTCAGGACAGTACAGATATCCCCCAAATGTCAGGACGGTACAGATATCCCCCAAATGTCAGAACGGTACAGATATCCCCCAAATGTCAGAACAGTACAGATATCCCCCAAATGTCAGAACGGTACAGATATCCCCCAAATGTCAGAACAGTACAGATATCCCCCCAAATGTCAGGACAGGACAGATATCCTCCAAATGTCAGGACAGTACAGATATCCCCCAAATGTCAGGACGGTACAGATATCCCCCAAATGTCAGAACGGTACAGATATCCCCCAAATGTCAGAACAGTACAGATATCCCCCAAATGTCAGGACGGTACAGATATCCCCAAATGTCAGGACGGTACAGATATCCCCCAAATGTCAGGACGGTACAGATATCCCCCAAATGTCAGGACGGTACAGATATCCCCCAAATGTCAGAACGGTACAGATATCCCCCAAATGTCAGGACAGTACAGATATCCCCCAAATGTCAGGACGGTACAGATATCCCCCAAATGTCAGAACGGTACAGATATCCCCCAAATGTCAGAACGGTACAGATATCCCCCAAATGTCAGAACGGTACAGATATCCCCCAAATGTCAGAACAGTACAGATATCCCCCAAATGTCAGGACAGTACAGATATCCCCCAAATGTCAGAACAGTACAGATATCCCCCAAATGTCAGGACAGGACAGATATCCTCCAAATGTCAGGACAGTACAGATATCCCCCAAATGTCAGGACATGACAGATATCCCCCAAATGTCAGGGCAGTACAGATATCCCCAAATGTCAGAACAGTACAGATATCCCCCAAATGTCAGAACAGGACAGATATCCCCCAAATGTCAGGACATGACAGATATCTCCCAAATGTCAGGACAGTACAGATATCCCCAAATGTCAGGACAGTACAGATATCCCCCAAATGTCAGGACAGTACAGATATCCCCCAAATGTCAGAATAGTACAGATATCCCCCAAATGACCCCTTTTTGCAGAGTAGACAGTCCGATGTACTTCATAAGAGGCATGGCGAGTTTTTTGAAGTTGTATTTTTTTTGTCATAATTTTTTGGAAAATGAAAAAATTCAAAAAAAATTAGTTTCACTATTTTTTTTTTACATATTGTCACCAGTGCAGTACAGCGTCATCATATAACTGGCATGGCGGTGATCAGGGACACTGACTGGTGACAGTATGAAAAAAATATATATATTTTTTTTTATTTTTTCTATTATTTTTATTACATTTTTTTTCTTTTATTTAAGATTTTCTTTTGACATCTCACTATGACCAAAGTAGTACAATGTTACCATAGTAACACTGTACTACTTTGGGGAAGTGATCAGTATTTTTTTTTTTTTTTTTTTACACAATTTGCTTATAGCAAAGAATTACTTTGCTATAAGCAAGCATTTACCAGAATGACATCGATTCATACAGGTTTTATTTTTTTTTTTGTGCTTAGCTGTGATTTGGCCACAGCTAATCACATGACATGTGCATGTGATTAGCTGTGACCATTCACAGCTAGACACTAGTATACAATGGATGGCATGAAAGGAAGCTATCCATTGTATACAACTGTCATGTGACCTGCTGTGATTGGTCACAGCAGGTCACATGGTACCGGCAACGGGGGCCGGTACTCAGACCTGTCATCGGCCATGTCCGAGGTACACGGCCGGTGACAGATCGCACACACGGCGGATGCTGTCAGGGCACTGTCCACAGCAAAAGTTCTCGAAAAACCTGGCATTCCTGCCAGTACTTTGCATGGCCACAGGAATGTGCACTGGCGAATAAACGGGCATCGGAAAATGCATGCGCCCTGGTGCACAGCTATGCATGATCCCAGCCCAGTTTGGTGCCAGATGGCCTTTATAAGGACGCCAGTATCTCTCTGCCAGGGCCAGGACAAGGAGTGAGCAGGAGGGACAGCTGCCCCGGGAGCAGATATGAGCAAGGGGGGGGGGGGGGGGGGGGGAGGGAATACATGCAGGATGGTACACCAATTCTATGGCATGTATTAACAGTGTGGAAGAGGGGGGCAATTCTGGATTCTTGCCCTTGGTGCTAGACGACTCTGTCCCTTTACTGCTCTCTGAAATTGCTGGTTGATCTTTGGCTTTCCAGTGAGCTTGTTCCTGTGTTCTCTTTGCATCTGTGGATTCCTATTACTGACTCGGATTGTCCCTAGACCCGTCTTCTGCCTGCCTCCTGACCTGACCATGGCTTTCTAATGGATCTCCTCTCTCTGCTCTCCTGTGTATGACCCCGGATAGAATCCTAACTACGCTTGCTCTTGTAATCAATTCAAATCTGACCTTGGCTTCAAACTGACACTTCTCCTGTTCTCTACTGAATATCTTCTGCTTCTTGCAGGTTCCACATGTCTGCAGACACGCCAGAGAACTCCTGGGCATTCCTCTGACAAACTTCCTAGTCAGAACATCTCTGCAAGCATTCCAGCAGATGACACGTGCTTCATTGGGCCTGACTCGGAAAAACAGGGAAATCTGGAACTTAGACACAAAGGAAGCCCTCTCTCCACCAGGTATGTGATAGATATGGGGGGACGTTTAGACACATCCATGCACATTGGTGCTGCTCCCATCCGGCAATTTATGTGCATGGGCCGAACGGGAAGACTTATACATACCTGTCTGTTGTGTTGACCTGCTTGCTAAAAATTTAACTCGGTAGCAGGGCTTCTGGTGCCAATATTATTTGATTCCTTGAGCTAGATGAATATAGGAATCCCCTCTGACTGCTGTGGTTCCTCCTGCTGACCCCTAGTCACTGCAAGACTCAGTAATGATCTAGGAATGACCAGTGGGGCAGGGGCGGACTGACAACTCATGGGGCCCCCGGGCAATAAGGGATCATGGGGCCCCTGTGTTCTTGCCCACACTCAAACCACACCCAAAAAAGCCTATGAAAGGTACCAGGGGCTTCTCATGGGGCCCCTACTGTCCCTGGGCCCTCGGGCAGTGCCGAGTTCCCCAATGGTCAGTCCGCCCCCTTGTGGGGGACAAGCTATGCCATGCATCCCTGAAAGAGTGGCAAAGGATCAGTGCCGAGAGCTGTGCTAAAACGTAAAGTTTTATCAAACAGTCAGATATGAATAAATCTTTTATTCTTCTCAGGGTAATGCCTTATTATTATTATTTATAATTATTCACACCTGAGTCACGTAAAGCCAGGAGCCGGCTGAGAACCTGAAGCAAGCTCAAAACTGCAGTCATGTGCTTGTTGAAGGCTCGGTTCACACTTGTACGACTCCAATGTTACAACTTTGATGCAACTTTGGATGGGTGCAACTTGGATACGACTTTGGCTTTCATTAATGATAATGGACAACTGTTGCATGTATAACATTCAGGTGCAACTTCCATACAACTTTTGAGGGTTTTCATTGCAGTCTATGGCTCTCAAGTTGCATGAAAGTCATACCAAAGTAGTAGAATGAACTACTTGAACTACTTTGAAGTCGCTGCGACTTGAAGTTGCACAGATATGAATGGTACCCATTGGGACACATGGGGGGCGGCTGACATTGGACCACAAAGTCGCATGAAAAGTCGCAAAAGTGTGAATGGGCTCTTAACCTGCTTACTCTTTGGACATACCAGTCCCTTCCAAACAGGGGAACAAGATAAACCCATTTTATACATGAATTGTATGACCTGAAGGGGAAAGTCTGAAATTCAGGGAAACACATATACAACACCTCTGCACTTTGGAGAAAATTGGAAAATAATCAAATATATTGCATTGTACTTTACTGTATATTTTTCACCTCTCAGCTCTGGATTCAGTGAGCATCCAAATTCATCCAGCAGAATGTGCTCCACCAGACCCTCACCTATAGAAAAAATAAATACAATTTATGACTTGATCATATCCAGTTCAGGCAGACCCACATAATGATAAATTTGAAAGATGTCTAAACATGATGTCCAACATTCTTTTGCTTCCGCTGTGTGATGAGACACCTAGCTAACAGGTGAGGAAGCCTCACGATCATCATTCACGGTGTAATACGGAGTCATGTCAGAGCTTACTGAGCCTCAAAGAGGACCAAAATGTCTTTATGGACCTTGCTTTGTGCACTGGTGTGCAGTCATGTTTGAACAGGAAGGGGCCATCCCCAAACTCTTCCCACAAAGTTGGGAGCATGAAATTGTTCAAAATATCTTGGGATGCTGACGTCTTAAGAGTTCCCTTCACTGGAACTAGGGGGCCAAACCCAACCCCTGAAAAACAACCCCACACCATTATCCCCCCTCCACCAAACTTTACACTTGGCACAATGCAGTCAAGCAAGTACCGTTCTCCTTGCCACCGCCAAACCCAGACACGTCTATCGGATTGCCAGACAGAGAAGCGTGATTGGTCACTCCAGAGAACACGTCTCCACTGCTCTAGAGTCCAGTGGTGGCGTGCTTTACACCACGGCATCCAACGCTTTGCATTGCACTTGGTGATTGAAGGTTTGGATGCAGCTGCTCGGCCATGGAAAACCCATTCCATGAAGCTCTCTACGCACTGTTGTTGGGCTCATCTGAAGGCCACACCAAGTTTGGAGATCTTTAGCTATTGACTCTGAAGACAGTTGGCGACTTCTGCGCACTGTGCGCTTCAGCATGCGCTGACCCCGTCCTGTCATGTGACGTGGCCTACCACTTGGTGTCTGAGTGGCTGTTGTTCCCAGTTGCTTCCACTTTGTTATAATCCCACTAACAGTTGAGCGTGGAATATTTAGTAGCCAGGAAATGTCACGGATGGACTTATTGCCCAGGTGACCACCTATCACGGGACCACGCTTGGAGTCACTGAGCTCCTGGGAGCGACCCATTCTTTCACCAATGTTTGTAGAAGCAGTCTGCATGCCTAGGGGCTTGATTGTATACACCTGTGTCCATGGAGGGGATTGGAACACCGGAATCACATGATTGGGAGGGCGGGTCCAATACTTTTGGTAATATAATGTATACATATATTTATTTAGTTTTTTTTTTTATATATACATATTTTTATTTTTTTATTTCTTCTATAC